TCTGTGACTATGCCTCACCGCCGACTGTATCTCCGGCGCCGCTACGCGCGGCGTGGATAGGGGCTAAACTAGATGGCTGGGACTCACGAGCGGCTGCTACCGCATCTCCTGCAACTTTCTCCAATTATTTTGCTTGTGAGTCCCAGGCACCTAGTTTAGCCCCCCATCCGCGCCGCGCGTAGCGGCACTTGGGATACGCTCGGCAGTGAGTTTAATCACGTTTTTTGCATGCCGACAGGTCTGACATCTACCGCTGCTAAATCCTCAATTGAAAGAACAGTATTGCTAATCTGTGTGGGAGCGCGTGGTCTACCCGCAATATCGCTTTCATCGTCTGTAATGTCTCGAAATTGTCAACGGTCGCTTTTATCATCTGCTAGTATCGTCTGCAGAAACGCTCGACATTGTCACCGGTCGCATTTATCGTCTGCTATTATTGTCTGCAATGTTGCTTCTCGTGACATTGTAAGGTACTCCTAGTTTTGCCGCAATTTGTTCCTCGGCGGGAACTCCGACAAGTCCGTATTTTTATTTGGAATGGATATTTCAGGATATTACCCGAACGGATATTTCAGGCCGCAATACTGCGGGGGTAGAAGTTCAGAGGAGAACCCCTTTTTTAAATGTGTTGATTAATCACACGTCTTGTGAATTTCCTTGCACCTAATCTCAATAAGCCAACATATGGTTTTGGAGCCGTGCTTTTTGTCTATGTATCTTCGTGATATGTCTATACAGATTGTTCTGTTGAGAGACAGACGAAGAGCATGGGGGTTCATAGCAAAAGTGAATAGGCTTTGCTTAGTGCAACAAAGCTTGGCATATGATATCACAACGTCTAGTTTGAGGATGAAGCTGGAGGCAGTCATTGCTGCATTCTGTTTGATTGAGAATCAGCTGTACACACATGACATATTCGTGACTCACAGAGTGGCAAGCATTTGCTTCAGAGGTCCCAGGTAGTTAGACTCCTTTGCATATTTTCTCCAGCTGATGCCTCTTGTGTTGAGAAATAAGCATGCAGATAGACTGGCCGGTTTTGCACCACTTGGTCATGAATAGATGTTGTAAGGCCCCTTAGGGAGTGAGTGAACAGTGCGGAGGCACAAATAGATCAATACGGTCTGAGGAGAATTGCGCTACTGGGAGTCACTAGGTGACTTGGCCGACATTGAACACTCAAGGGAAAAGCCAGACAGATTTACAATCAGAGAGTTACTGGTACCATCGGAATTGGAACTCTTTGTTTGCTGCTGAAGATGGGGGCGAGCGCGTACGGGAGTGCCCCGAGTGCTATGATTAATTCAGCATTCAACATCTTCGTGATATTGGTTACGCATTGCATTTGGGGACCACATTGCATTTGGGGACATCACTTGAGTCCAGTACTGGGCAGTCATCATAACAACCAGTGTCCACCAGATAATCTATCTACAGGCTTTTTGCCTCTAATACCAGTATGCTGATCTTAGATAATCATCATTGTCTGTTTTTGACCATCAGATTGCTTCCTAAAAACCTGACCATCCCATGACATTTCAGAAATTTAACCTTGGATTGCAAACAAATAGGGTAAATCCCAGATACCCTATTTAGCCTCTTGATTCTTTTAGACCCATGAATTTTTACAGACGGTTCACATTAATTTCCCTCCACAAAAATGGAAGAGGGAGTGGTGAAAACAAAAAGCAATAGAGAATGTTATATATTTCTAATCCATTTGCAAGTATTTATGTTTTTAAAAGAGTAATGAATGTACATTTTGAAATCAATGATATGTCAATGTTTAATGCCGTTATCATTAGAAAGAGAAAGAATTCAGCAGGTGTTATGGTTACTTAGACTGAATTTTGGAAAATAATTCTTCACTTACCATGGTTTTGCTGCTATAAGAATAGTGAATATCCAGAGCAGAATAACACGTAAGAGTTTGTTCATTTCCTTCCTACCAAATTGAAAAGTTATAATTTTTTAAGTTAGTTTATCACTCAAAGGCTGTAGGTAACAATGGAACGTTCTCTGTGACCTACTCATCAGAACTGCTAGCTTCTCTAACAACTGACCGCTTAGCTGCCAGTAGAATAAATTGACTGTCTGACCCACTTTCAGAATAATTTAAGTTTTCGTAATCAGAATCAGAATTAAAAGCACCTGAATTTCACAGCTTTGTTGGCAGAAAGGCAGATTTTACGGCCTTAACTTGTGCTTCGAGGTCAGTCAGAGAAAAGTCAAAAAATTTACTGTCTGAAAATAGTGCTGGCAGTAAATTTCATAATTTTGCACCTAAATATCTAAACAAGTAAAAACGTCAGAGTAACCTTTCCTGAATATTCTAAATATAGTTTCAAACATTTTAAAAACTAACCCCGGCAATTTGCGAATCAGTATGTACTGGACACACAGTCGGTGCAGACTGTTTTGTTTGGGCAAATAGGAATTTCTTAGTCAACACACAGCATTGGCTGGACCTGAAAGAGTTAAGACGTTTTTTTCTTTTCTTTGTGTTCACTGACTGTAAAAACCGTAGCGGAAAGTTCTGTTCCTTTGTCCACCTCTGGACTTGAGTCTTGTTCCAGAACCTGAGTGTTACATGCACATCTCTTTAACTGATCTGACTTATTTGTATGCAGACTGTTGGTTCTTTGTCTCTCATGCAGATGCACTCCAACTTGGAAGGAAGCTCCCCAGTTTGTTGACTCTTACAACATGCTTGTTGGGGAGGCAGAGGGGTCTGTTCTTGTTTTCCCTACAATGGGGCCCCAGAACCCACACAGGGGAGTTAAGAAGATAATTGGGGTGTGGGTAATGGCTCCTACATCAGCCTGACTGGTGTGGTCTTCAGTCGTGTGCTGGTTATGATCTTAGAAATGATCTGATACTGATGTTTCATAGCCAATAGCCTGGCGATTCACAGACGGCCTGTAGGCCAAATCCAGTTCACAGAGGCCTAGCAGGTGGCCAGCTGATCATTGCTAATTCTATTGTATTATTGATCTTTCTGTTTTGGGGCACAGGCCTGTGGCCTGTGACGATCCCTATTTTCAACATTCTGGCCCTTGAGGAAACTTAGTTAAATGGCCCTGTTTTATAGAATTCTAAAACTTGTTCTTGGTTTCATGTCACTGATTGACGAAAACACATATGAAGGTGATGCTATATTTTACACTGATGGGTCAGTAATTCGGGGCAGGCAAAGTGCATGGACATTCACAGTAAGCTCAAGGAGAAAATTATCAAGGAGATGAATGGCGCCTTTGCTGTTACAATTAGTAGCCTTATAGTGGATAATATGGCTGTTACAAGGGTATAAGCATAGCTTGGTTCTCAAAAGTTCACACACGTATGCATTCTCAGTGACTCCAATATGCTTAAAAAAATCCAAGCTGGATTTATCAGGCAAGAATGGATTGAAACACTAAGCACTTCATAAAAAGCTGCCCTAACCTTCATCTTTGTGCTAGGTCATGCGGGTGTTCAATGAAACGAGCGTGCAGACTATCATGCTGGCACTGCAGTTGCTATGGCTGGTCAAGTACTGGACAGAAGTGATGTTATCAGTGTACCCACCGTATCGCTGTCTAGATTGATTCACATGGGAGGTGCAGCCTGTAGCTGCAAGAAATGAACACTTCACTAAGGGGACAATACGTTTCATTAACTCTTTAACTCCCAAGGAACGCATCATTCATTTATAGATTCATACCTAGAAGCCCAAAATGCACAGATTTCACATCTCTCTTGACTCTCCCTTGGGCCTCTGATGCTAAACCTCCTAAGTCTTAAAGAGTTAACCAACACAGAAATGGTGTTATCAGTCGTTTTACACTTGTGGAGCTTTTGAGGAGGACATTGGAGCACTTGTGAATCTGTCCGGAGTGTTGTCATGATAATCCTTTCTAATCACTAATCACTATGTCATGCTTAGGTGTTCTTAACACCACATTTGAAATGTAGAGAATCATACTCTTAATTGAACGAGCAAAATTTGAGTTACAAATCTACCCAAAGTATTTCAGGATCCTCATCAGTGCTACAGAGCCTGTGCACAGTGCTGAGCTTCTTTGGACTCAGACTTGAGTTAAAAGAAAAACGGAGCACTTTTTGGTTACTACTTGTGTGCCTTGATGTTGATCCGTTGTTTAAAGTTCAAACTACAACCCTCCAAAAGAGTTGAATGGGAGTAGACCATGAAGCAGACAACAAATACAGCAGAAATACGCAAGCAGACCTACAAACACTTAGAGTCATCAGCTAGAAAGAGAAGGCCAATCACGGAGATGAATGGAGGTGGCTGATATCTGCAGCAGTGAACCTCAGGCGCTCAGTGTGCTGAGAATACTGATTCTCTAAATATGATTGTTTGTGTTTGTACTTGTGGTGCAGTTAAGAACTAAATGATAGGCACATTACTAGTAAATGATTTCATAGAACATCAAGGAATCAAATGGTTTGGTCATATGGTCAGAATTGCAACAAAATTATCCAGCAGCTAGAGTATACTACATGACAGCAGCAGCAGGCTACAAGGCAAGAGGCTGACCAAGAAAGAGATGGGTGGAGGGAGTAAAAGTGACACCACAGAAAAGCAATATAACATTAACACAATCTACACAGCTAACAAAAAGCATGCAGCTACATCTAACTCTTCTCTGGGACACTTTACAGTAGCACCACAGGGGATGATGTTTTGCATCATTTTCAACCCAGCCTAAAGGAGCCCCAGGAAATGGCATGGGAAGGAAATGTGGCCAATATGATGTTGACCACATATCACTGGGACACTTTACAGCCCAAGCAGTAGCACCACAGGGGATGATGTTTTGCATCATTTTCAACCCAGCCTAAAGGAGCCCCAGGAAATGGCATGGGAAGGAAATGTGGCCAATATGATGTTGACCACATATCATAGACATATCATAGACTGAGTTCAGCTGAGAGTATGCAGAAAGATCCTTTACTTACTTTCTCTTCTGTCTAAACTAGGAGACAACTCCTTAAGGATGTCATCTTCAGCCAAGGATGATGATGGGGGTTCTGAATGGCTGGTGAGCCTCCTCAGTGAGATCCAGCTGGGTCAGTTTTACTCCAAGCTGCGGGATGACCTTCAGGTTACAAGGTATGGCAAACATATACAGCCTGGTGTCATGAGTTTTACATAAAGTTGTAAGAAGTGAAGTCAGATAGATTTGTTGTTCTGTTGTTTTCTTCTTCTTCTCTTCTTCTTCTAAAGCAGTTACTAGTAAACTACATGTATTTATTAACCCCTTTGCCTGGTTCTTTCTTTCTGGTTAGTTCGTATCCTTTACAGGACGTTGCAGAACCAACCCCAGCAGCCCCTGGCTGTTGTGTGGTTTCTCTAGGCAAATTTACGTCCAGTAGTTTGCCATTGCTTTTTGGACGGTCGGCCCCCTGATACCACTGTCGAATAAAAAGCAAGGCGCATGGCCCGCAGCTGGGATCGAACCTGTCACCCCGGCATTACGAAGCGTTCGCATCGACTTAGCCATAGAGCCGACCTATGCCTGGAGAATGCTAATTTAATAAGGCTCATGAACACATTGGAAATCTAAAATAGATCATTTTGAAAAAAAAAAAAAAAGTTTTACACAGATCACAACTAAATTTTTAAAATTTATCAACATTGTTACATTTCTCTTAAAAATTTATAAAGATATATAAAAAAAGTAGTCAGTTTCATCATCATCATCATGTGCCCTGCCAATTGGTGTAGGCGCTCATGAGTCTCCACAGATCACGATCCCTGGTTGCCTGGAGCAGCGCTGCCTGGGTGCTGGGATGTTGATATAGATAGCAAGTAACAAGTAACTGGGGATGAGCTACACGCAGTAAGAAAGGATAGGACCGTGTGATATGTGCCAACTGAGGGCCCCTGCTACCCTGGAGGATAGAGGACAGAAGAAGTAGTAAAGGTAAAGTCAAAAAGATAGACTTCATTGCACTGAGTTTTTATCTCATGTGGCTCAGTCTCTTTTTGCAGAACATCTAGCTGTCTGCCTTAAGCAGTGGTTTCAACCTGAGGGGTGAGAGGAATTTTCAAGGGTAGGAAGGGTCAAGCAGTTCTGAAATTTAGTTAATTTGTACTATAATTATAATAATCAGGATGTTTAGCTTTAACAGTCATGAAAACAAAACAGTGCCACCATCTTGATATGGAGAGTGATCTCCATTGTACCTTGTCCAAAATACAGACCAAAAATAGCAGATATCATCAAGACAAAACAGTTTCAGCCAATACTGTGATGTTTGGACACTATATTACTAGTTGTTTGTGATTGTTTTCTTTTGTTGTTTGACACTTTGAATTGTGTGAATGTTTTTCTCCAAGTACTTGTTAGAAATATTTTTGATCTTTCTTTTTTGGCCTCCTCTTTGTAATCGCATTTTAATATGTTGAAAAATTATGTTGAAAAAGGTAGGGGGGTCAACATATATTTAAGGGGGCGCCACCTGAAAAAGGTTGGAAGCCACTGGCCTACAGCATCATACAGAGCACAAACTCTGTATCTCTAGCACACAGTCCTCGGAGATTTCTGTAAAAACTGCACTTGTGATCTGAACTTGTATCCATGAAATGGGTCGTTCATTTCAGGACTGCAGTTTTAACAGGAACCTAGCAGAAGTCTTCTTTTTTCTTCTTGGGATTCACCGGCTGTAAACTCTGGCGGAACATTTTGGGTTGTTCATCCACCTCTGGACTTTAGACTTGTTCCAGCACCTGAGTGTTGCATGTATATCCATTTTACAGATCTGACTTATTTGAATGCATACTGTTGGTTCCTTGCCTCTCAGGCACTCCGACTTTGAAAGAAACCACCATTTTGTCAACTCTTACAACATGCTTGTTGGGGAGGCAGAGGGGTCTATTCTTACTTTCCCCACAGTGGGGTGCCAGAACCCACACCACAGTGGGGTGCCAGAACCCACACGGGGAACTAGAAGAAGTTAACAAAGTGTTCATGGGATTTCCTGTTTCAGACTGGTCCACTTCGACTATGTGAAGACTGAAGACTTGGAAAAGATTGGCATGGGAAAGCCGGCCATTCGGCGTCTGATGGATGCTGTGAAGAAACATAAATCGCTCCACAAAAAAGGCATTTTAGACAAAGTGTCTCAGGTATAGTCTTGAATAATCAGTTATTCATCATTATCATTTAGAATGGTCCATTGCAGAATGTTGCTCTCAACACACCTTGCCAGAAAGCCTCTAGGGCCCTTGTTAACTGTGCACCAGCAGTATGGGAACCTCTTCGTTGGCTACTGAAAAAAACGGGATGGAGCATGTATGGGAATATTCCGAGGGGGGGGGGGGGGGGGGGAATGGGAGAGTGGAATGATCACATCAAGAAATGGGGGGGGGGGGGGAAAGGGGGGGGGGGGAATAGTGAAATGATCACATCAAGAAATGAACAGGACTAAATTAAAAAACACTTGTATAGAGGAAGACAGAGAAAGATGACTGGTTTAGTGTGTTAGTGCTTTCATCAGTACACTTTTACGACCCTAATGTGTCAAAGGTTATGTTGTGTTATATCATATGCATGCACACATGCTTGCATAAATATATACTTGCACCAATGCTTGTATCTCTCCACACCTGCAGACAGACATACATCCAGGCATGTACATAGTACTATATACATGAAGCATGGATGTGTACTTGCCCCCTGACATCTTTGAAATATACTTTTCACTCGTTTTGAAATATGCCTTTCCAGATGAAGAGGGTGGTATATTTATCTATTCTCAATCTGAAGGTAGCATCTACAATGCTTATAAACTGAAAGTCAAGACCTTGGCTAGGTACTCATTAGTGAGCTGCTCTCAGCAAATGAAACTGCAGTTACAACCCACCCCGATGGAGGAACTACAACATTTAATATCTACATTCCCTGATGCCTGTTGTGAGAAATCAACATCAGGGTAGACTAGGCAACGACAACACTGAGCAGACTGAAAAAAGAAGAGTTTGGATAACAGAAAACTTATGAGTTGAGTTGAGTCAAGCATTGACATCACAGCACTCGGGGCATTCCCATGGGTATTATGTCCTCATCTTCAGCAGCCAGCGCAGAGTTCCAATGCTGATGGTACCGGTCACAATCTGGCTATATGTCCGTTTGCCTTTCCTCTGAGTGTATTGAGCCGGCCAGACCCTCTGGTTACACCCAGGTGCCTCATTCTCTCCAGGCCTTAAAAATCTTGTTTCTCTACTGATTCCTTTGCTTGTTCCCAAGGGGCCTTGACCACATCTGCCTTGTCATGTATGACAAAACTCATCAATGAAACAAAATCCCTTGTTGTTGTTTGTGTTCACCGGCTGTAAACCCAGGCAGAAAGATCTTGTTATTCGTCCTTTCCTGGACTTTAGCCTTGTTTCAGGACCTCAGTTGCGTGTGCATCCGTTTTACATATCTTGCTTGATTGTATGCAGACTGCTGGTTCCTTGCCTCTGAAGCAGATGCACTCTGACTTTGAAGGAAGCCCCCAATTGGTCAACTCTTATGACATGCTTGTTGGGGGCGGCAGTGGATCTATTCTTGTTTTCCATATAATAGGACCTCTGAACCCCTTGTCTGTGAAGCATTGTCTATCAAGCATGTGTTGTCAGGACTCAATTACGGTACTGAAACTTGGTCAAGGTAATCAAACCAGGAGAAAGGTAAAATGTCTAAAAATCAAATTCACCAACACACAGACACTCACTCACCCACACACACATACACACACACCCACACACACAAATGTTGACAGGTTTCTTAAGTTTCTTGTTTTCAAATTCTAGATCCTACCTGGCACAAAGACAGGGAGTGAGAAGAGCATACCCCAGCATAATCAGTCTAGCCCCCGTCATATAGAGAATGGAGATATGAATTTGACTTGCCTGATTGACAAGAAGAATGTGTATGTGTTTGACAAACTTGGCACTGGCTCTTTTGGTATTGTTCGACGTGGTGAATGGGTGACCCCTTCAGGGAAGAAGGTAAATGTGGAAACTGGAATCATCTTAACATTTGTTTGAACTTTTTTGTCTCTTTTATTCTGCTCTTGAAAACACATCTAACACTCCTTCACATAGAAAGATACTCAAATCTATTAAGGCATATCTCGATAGAATTATTTGTTGTTGGCATTATGTTGCAGTGTGATTAATTCATGTGAATAGGTTAAATTTACTGTATTTCATGGATTAAAAAACACAACTTACTGCTCATTAATGTAAAAGTAAAGATCCCTTTTACACACCTTTCAGGCGCATCAGGCATATAGAAAGAGCACCCTTATTTTTACGAACCAATTGGCACTAGGTGGGTAATGTGGTCAGCATTACGCCAGCCATCTTCACTTCCCCAGGACATAGATCCTGGTACCCATTTTTTAAACTGGGTCAACCTGCGACGTCCTATGCCAAGATAAAAATCCACGCAGCCAGCAGTGGGTTTCGATCATGGTATGTTGGAATTAGGAGTCGGACTCGCAACGCCTGATTACTGCTTTTTAGAGCTGGACTTACTTCAAAAGTTACCTCGACTCCCAGGTTTACCCAGCCTTAAATGGGTACCAAGTTCCTGTGGCCGGCGAGATGCTGACCACATCACCCACCGAGCGCCGTTGGTCAATAAAATATAGTTCTGGCCCTATATGCTCAGTATTTAAGGGCATGGAAAGGGATCCTTTACTTTGCTGCTCTTTAGGGTGGTAAAGCTCAAATAAATATCAGAAGGCGTGGTACCAGGAAAGAGAGGCAGGGGCCCACTAACTCGAAGATGGGCACAGGATATAAGTGACAACTTGAATATGAAACTATACGAGGCTCCAGAGTTGGAGATGTCTATCCACACCTTCTGTCTCATGTACTTTTAATCAGTTTTGACACAGATGATCCTCCATGCCGTGATGTCAAACTGTCCAGCATCTTTTCTCTCGGTCTCCCTCTGCCTCTCCCCCCTCTAACTTTCCTACTGTCATGAGGTATTCCAGTTTTCTCCTTCTCGTCACATGACCCAAAAATGTAGATTATCTCTTTCTGATGTGGGCTATTAGTTCTCTTCGTGAGTCACTTTCTTTCAAAATGTCCTCATTACTATTTTTATCTAACGAGGATATTCTCATCATTTGTCTGTGGAAATACCTGTTGGAAATTGGTGTTAAATGAAGATGACCAGGTGTGGGTTCCAGGGCCCTATTGTAGGACAAACAAGAATAGACCTACTGCCTCCTCATCAAGCATGTTGTAAGAGTCAACTAACTGGGAAAGGGGGGTGGGAACTTCCTTTGAGGTCCAAGTGCCTTTGCCTGAGACTTGCATTCAAATAAGTCAGATATGTAACATGGATGTGCACGCAACACTCAGGTTCTGGAACAAGACTAGTCCAGAGGTGGAGAAACAACCAGAACTTTCTGCTGGAGTTACTTCCGGTGAATGCCAGGAAGAAGAAGAAGAAGACATGAATACAAGGTCTGACAATTAAGTAATGAGACTGGTTTTATTTTGGCTAAGACAAAAATGCCATCTATGAATCACAGCATGGAATATAAAGAGGTAACCTTCGTCTGTGATGTAGCAACTTTTCATCGCTGCCCGATAAGCAAACAACAAACAAGCCACCATTTTGTTAAGATAGTTAGAAGTGTATTGTTACATAATCAGCATGGAGCAAAAATGCTAACATTAAATTCTGTTTAAAACTAAGAAAAAGCGCCATTGCAACAGTTGAATTGATGCGACAAGTTTATGGGGATAATTGTTTATCTCGTGCACAGATTTTCAGGTGGTATTCACGATTCAAAAGTTGTGTTGAAATGATTACTAATACAACTAGACCTGGACGCCCAGTTTCTTTTCATAATGAGGAACTCATTACAAAATTTCTGAAAACTAATTTAAGAAGATCGTTGTTCGACTGTGGGGATGATGGTAGATGAATTAGAGGTGTTAATACAGATACTATATGTAAAATTTTAGTGGAAGATTTAGGCACCAAAAAAAAAAGAAGTTGCTTGCCAGTATGTATTCAACACCTGGCAATTTGTTTCTTCTTCGTGACAATGCACTGGCTCAAAGGGCAGTAGTTGAACAGGAATTTTTGGCCCCAAAACAAGTGTGTGTTCTCAACCATCCACCCTACTCCCCACATTTGTCTTGCTGTGATTATTTTCTATTCCCAGAATTAAAGCTACCATTGAAAGGAAACTTCTTTGATAATATTGATGACATCCAAAGGACCGTAACATCGACTTTAAGGGCTATTACAACAAAAGAACTACAAATGTCGTTCCAGTGTTTGTTAGATCGTGCCACTGGCTGTATCAATGCACAAGGTGCTTACTTTGAATAAAATACAGGTTATATTTTCAACTGTTGATTATTTTAATTTTTGTGGAATTAGTCTCATGACTTAATTGTCGGACCTTGTACAAGCATGTAGAAACCAGGTGCTCGGCAAAGAAAGCAGATATATCGGTCAGTTTCTATTGGGTATGGTGAGCATGGAGATACTGAGATGGCTACTGCAGATCAGTGCTCTTGGATGTCGAAACAGATTACAAGTAAATATGTCAGTGGAACTCTGGGGAAAAAATACGTAATAAAATGTTATGCTTTTTAAATGGAAGTCATTTAAAAAAAAAATGAATTCTGAAATTTTTAACATAGAAAACTGTGGCGGTGAAAATTTTGCGAAGGGATGCTCTCTCCCAGCCTGGAGCTTTTGAAGATTTTGTAGAGGAAGTTAATGCTATGCACACCCTGAAGCATCCAAATCTAATTCATCTGTATGGAATCGTCCTGTCTACACCACTAATGATGGTGAGTCTGTTGTTGTTTGTCTGTGTGGAATTTGTTGGCACCTGTCTTTCGAAAGAATAGTGTTCCATTGTGCTGTGGGCTGCTTGGGAACCAGATTCCATGACAGTTGGAGTTAACTCATTTGGGACCAGGGTACACACTCTGCGTTCTTTAGTAACCCCTCACATAGTGCGCTTTTCTTCAGATTGGTGATCCTCATTCACTTGTTACATTAAAATCTTCCTTATAATTAATTTAACTCCTTAAGATCTATATAATAATTATTTTAATTACTGTCGACGCAACATTGATTCACTTAAAGCAACAAATTCTTAAGATAGAAAAAGTTGTAGTGACAACACTCTGGGACTAAAAGAGTTAAGGCCAAGAATGAAGTTCCTTCACTCTATAGCACAAAGATTGGGCAGTTTTGTAGAGACTGTGTTGTCCAGGCAGCACCATTCTTCAGTCAGCTCGTTTGCTCCAAAGTGATGTGTGAGAAGTTCGCTGCAGGGGTACTAGATAGCATGATGCATCGCACACTTGCCAAGAGTCTAGGGGACCATTCAGTGATGCCAATCTTACTGCTCACAACTCCTGCTTAACAATAACATAGAACTCCGAACACAGGTTCACTTTCATATTCCCACTATATTCAGATAATTAAAAGAAAGGGATTGCATCACGAGATACGCTTAAAACAGTAATACTGCCATTCCTCATCCTACACAGGTATGCATACAGGGCGTTGCTCCAAAGGACTTTTCCTGTCATACCTGAAGACCACTCAGCCCCCTGTATGCCCCAACCATTGCAGGTTTTAAATTCTCATGAATTAAGTTTTAGTAGTGATTTTAAACAGATTATGAATTTCATTGTTGCTTCTCATGCTGGTTTTATGCTTTTTTTGCATCTGTGAAGGGTTTGCAATGTTTGTGTTTTCAAAAAATAACTTTAACTCTTTGAGTCCCAAGGAATGTATCATATGTTCATAGGTTCCTAACTAGAACCCCAATGAACGCAAAAGATGCGCCGATTTTACGTCTCTTTTGTCTACCCCTTGGGCCTCTGATGCTAAACCCTCTGGGACTCAAAGAGTTAAACATATGAATCCAGTTGGTTTTAATTTTGCTTAAACATTTTGTAACTTGAAATTTTAACTTCCTGAGTATCAAGAAAGGCATCACACAGGATGTTTAACTATTTTCAATATCCTGTAATACTGCAGAGTTAATATTGAAATAAGGTTGAATCCATGTTGCTTCCAGGACCCCATTGTGGGGGAAACAAGAATAGACCCACTGCCTCTCCAACAGGTATGTCATAAGAGCTGACTTTTTGGGGGCATCTTCAAATCAGAGTCCATCTGCCTGAGAGGCATGGAACCAACATTCTGCATACAAATAAGTCAGATGCGAAAAATAGATATGTATGCAGCACTCAAGTTCTGGAGCAAGACTACGGTCAAGAGCTGGACAAACTAGCGGAACTTTATATCAGAGTTTAAATTCAGTTTACAGCTAGTGAACAAGAAGAGGATAAGGAGGAACACATGAACCCTTTCAGTATCCAACAACTCACTGTATGTTTCATAACCATGCAAAGAAAATATGAAATCACTGCTGAATTCCAGCAGAGACAAATGTTATATTAGCTTTTTTGCATCTGAATGAATAGTTTAACCAAGTCTCCTCCATAGAATGTGTTGAACTACTTCGAATCAAAATAATTATTGGTTTCAAGCTAAACTCCTTGAGATGGAAGGGTTTAGGTAACAACTGCTTCAGACCAAAAGAGTTAATAATTTACGTTGTTTTTAGTTTGCTGTAGGTGACAGAACTAGCACATGGTTTGTTTTGTTGTAGGTGACAGAACTAGCACATGGTTTTTCTGTTGTAGGTAACAGAACTAGCACATAGTTTTTCTGTTGTAGGTGATAGAACTAGTACATGGTTTGTCTGTTGTAGGTGATAGAACTAGTACATGGTTTTTCTGTTGTAGGTGACAGAACTAGCACATAGTTTTTCTGTTGTAGGTGACCGAACTAGCACATGGTTTTTCTGTTGTAGGTGACCGAACTAGCACATGGTTTTTCTGTTGTAGGTGACTGAACTAGCACATGGTTCTTCTGTTGTAGGTAACAGAACTAGCACCCTTAGGCTCACTGCTGGATAGGCTACGCCAGGAGCAACAATCCCTACTAATCTCCTACTCTGTGTGAATATGCCATCCAGATAGCCATTGGCATGAGCTTCTTGGAGTCCAAGAGGTTCATCCACCGGGATTTGGCTTGTAGGAATGTCCTTCTGAAAACTGACGAGCTGGTAAGTGCTGGGTGGTTTTTGACTCTTTCAGTTCCAGGTTGTGAAGGAGCAAGTGGCGGAATGGTTAAAGACACCGGGCTCTGGTTTAAGAGATCCAGGTTTGAATACTTTGCAAGGTTATGGATTTGTTCTTTTAGGGGCAAAAAAAGAGTCATAACCTGCACAAGCTGTGCTGTCTGCACTCTAGCTATGCAACCATAAATTCTCACACAGATGAGGAGAGGGGTGAGGAGTATTGTCTGGATTTGTTAACGCCAGTGTGTTGGGAAATGAACAGGCTGACAGACTGCTGGTTCTGCACAGCTTGGTGGAATACTGATGCATTATAAGGCAGACGTGGTTAGTGTCTTGTAGGGAGGTATTCTGAAGACCATATATGAACGACTTTTGGCAGAAGACACGAGATTAGATGCAATAACATGGACAAGAATGTGTGAACCAGGAATTAAGTGTGGATCCGGCAAGGAGAAACGGACGATAGGAAGAGATCGGCGTGTGTATAAACAGTGTTCTACGGGAACAATTAGCATCCACACCTTACGTTATTTGCTGCGGGAGACGGAGAATCTCTGGGTATGCCTGGTGTGCTATGGTGTTGATTCTTACATTAGTAAATCAGTAAACTAGGGATAAGCTCAAGAATACTACCTGCTGCCATAGTTATATCTGGGGACCTTGTTAGTTTTCATAGTTTCAGATACTTTTAATGACTGTAGTGTGTTGATGAGAATTTGAATTGTGGCATGTTATTTTTCCTCCAATGCCTTTCAGGGGCATATTGTTTCATTGATGTCTTGGCGACAATGGTTGAGGTTTTAATATTACCACTGCAGAATGAGTAATTAATCATTTCACCTTTTTTAGCTGAAAAACTAGGGCAGTATGGAAATTGGGGGAGGGGTAGACCTAAACTGACTTGCTTGGGATGTCCTATTTTCAGCTCACAATATTAGACAAATATCCAATTTTCAGCTCACAATATTAGACAAATATCACATTTTCAGCTCACAATATTAGACAAATATGACATTTTCAGCTCACAATTTTAGACAAATATGACATTTTCAGCTCACAATTTTAGACAAATATGACATTTTCAGCTCACAATATTAGACAAATATGACATTTTCAGCTCACAATATTAGACAAATATGACATTTTCAGCTCACAATATTAGACAAATATCACATTTTCAGCTCACAATATTAGACAAATATCACATTTTCAGCTCAAAATATTAGACAAATATCACATTTTCAGCTCACAATATTAGAGGAATGTCCTCTTTTCAGCTCAAAATATTAGACAAATATCCCATTTTCAGCTCACAATTTTAGACAAATATCACATTTTCAGCTCACAATTTTAGACAAATATCACATTTTCAGCTCACAATTTTAGACAAATATGACATTTTCAGCTCACAATATTAGACAAATATGACATTTTCAGCTCACAATATTAGACAAATATCACATTTTCAGCTCACAATATTAGACAAATATCACATTTTCAGCTCACAATATTAGACAAATATCCCATTTTCAGCTCACAATATTAGACAAATATCCCATTTTCAGCTCACAATATTAGACAAATATCCCATTTTCAGCTCACAATATTAGATGAATGTCCCAATTTCAGCTCAAAGAATTAGCGGAATGTCCCACTTTCAGCTCAAAGTATTAGTGGAATATCCTGATTTCAGCTCAAAATATTAGAGGAATGTCTTGTTTTCTTCTCAAAATATTAGCCTAATGTCTCATTTTCAGCTCACAATATTAGACAAATATGACATTTTCAGCTCACAATATTAGACAAATATGACATTTTCAGCTCACAATATTAGACAAATATGACATTTTCAGCTCACAATATTAGACAAATATGACATTTTCAGCTCACAATATTAGACAAATATGACATTTTCAGCTCACAATATTAGACAAATATGACATTTTCAGCTCACAATATTAGACAAATATGACATTTTCAGCTCACAATATTAGACAAATATGACATTTTCAGCTCACAATATTAGACAAATATGACATTTTCAGCTCACAATATTAGACAAATATGACATTTTCAGCTCACAATATTAGACAAATATCACATTTTCAGCTCACAATATTAGACAAATATCCCATTTTCAGCTCACAATATTAGACAAATATCACATTTTCAGCTCACAATATTAGAGGAATGTCCTCTTTTCAGCTCAAAATATTAGCCTAATTTCCCATTTTTAGCTCAAAATATTAGCAGAATGTCCTGTTTTCAGCTCAAGACATTGTACTGACTCTTCTCAAGATCCTCCTTCTTGATTTCTTCTCTCCAAGAAACAAGGTACATGGAATTGTACTCCCACTAATCTACTTTAAAACCTGTATCATTCATGTTCAGCTTGCATAAATCTTTTAATCGCATCAGAGGCCAACCTCAACATCTTCTACACATCTGTAATTCACCTCAGAAGATGTCTACCATCATCCATCCTCTACGGGTGCCCTATCCATCTCAATGTTTCAAGACTAAACACTGACAGAACTGTAGCAATACCTTGATTTTCCTATATCTCTTCTTCTTCTTCAGCATTCTTGGTCCTTGAGGCTCTCTGGTTGGCCTTCTCTTTCTAGTTGGTAACATTAAGTGTTTGTAGGTCTCTCTGGACATTATCTCTCCATCATTTATGACCATTCAGCTCCCTTGTGTATACAGTTTTTACCTCTCTGTCATTTGACATTCTCTCAATATTCCCTAAACAGGGGTACATGCAGGTGCTAAAGGGAACTACAGTGGTGTACTGCTTAGACAGTTGCCAGCCAGCACTGGGTCTATTCTGATTTTCCCCTTAACGGGACATTGGAACCTACCTAGTGTTTTTGTTGTTGTTGAAAAAGTTAAGACTTGTTATAGAAACCAACTAATCATGTTTTCCATGGTTTCTTCCTGTCCTCCACACTTGATTCCCCAGGAAGCTTAGGCCCTAAGCCAATTCCTGTCAAGTCGTCCTATTCACATGCATCTCATCCCAAGTCTTTCGCATCTTATTCACCTCATTGAATTCTCCTCTCCACATTAATTTTGGTCTTCCTTTATTTCTTTGGCCCGGTGGATTTCAGTCAAAGAACTTTCTGGTTATATTATCAGTGTTTTTTTCTCACTGCCTTGTCCAGTGCTGTCGTCTTTTCCTCACCTCCTGGTTCACTGTTATTATTTTTCTATTTTATTTCCAGATTAAAATCGGGGACTTTGGTCTCATGAGAGCCTTGCCCAGTCAGACAGATCACTACGTCATGTCGGAGCAGAAGAAGGTCCCTTTTGCTTGGTATGTTAGATTTGACAGCATCATGTACGCATGGATATAAATCTGTTTAAAGGAAAGACAGTGGTCTTCGTTATACTAGAATGGATCCCAAATAACTCTGTGTCCCTCCACAAGCTGACTTTCTACCAGTTGGGACTGATTCTATACCAGTCTGAACAGACTGACTCTCTACCAGCCAGGATCACTGTTGTGTAATGTACCTGGTAATTGGCTAGAGAAGGAAAGACTTTCAATCATGCCATGACAAGAGTACCAATGTATAAGGGACCTGGTAATTGGCTAGAGAAGGAAAGACTTTCAATCATACCATGACAAGAGTACCGTTGTGTAAGGGACCTGGTAATTGGCTAGAGAAGGAAAGACTTTCAATCATGCCATGACAAGAGTACCGTTGTGTAAGGGACCTGGTAATTGGCTAGAGAAGGAAAGACTTTCAATCATTCCAAGAGTACCGTTGTGTAAGGGACCTGGTAATTGTTTGAATTTTGAATGTTGTTTGTTAAATTAAGAATCGATATCATAGCATTTGGGACACCCCCATGAGTGCCGTATCCCCATCTTCAGGTGAAGAGTTCTGATTCCAATGCTACCTGTAACTGTCTGATTGTATATCCATCTCGCATTTCCCTTAAGTTTCAAGCATCTGCCAGATCCTCTGGTAACTCCCTGCAGCACCATACTCCTCAGACCATAATGATCTGTCTGTGCCTCCCCTCTGTTCACTAGCTGCCAAAGGTCCCTCACAACATCTAGCTTGTCATACATCAATTTACCACCAAGTGCAGAACCGGCCAGTCTATCCGCCTGCTCCTTTCCCAACAGACTGGTGTCACCTGGAGAAAATATCCAAAGGATGCTAACTACTGAAGTGTAATTGTTTCATTGATTGATTGATGTTTCTCAAGGTGTGCCCCAGAAAGTTTGAAGTCCAGGCAGTTCTCTCATGCCAGTGATGCCTGGATGTTTGGTGTGACACTGTGGGAGATGTTTACTTATGGTCAAGAACCTTGGCTTGGTTATAATGGTTCTCAGGTAAGTGTGTGCCTTTGTTGTTGCTCAGCCACATACTTGTCTCTCATTTCATGCTTTCTAATGCTTGAATCACAATCTTAGCTTTGGTGTTTGTTCAGATGCTTGCTTGATTCTCAGTCCATGCTCTCTTTTGTTTGAGGCTCTAACTTTGTTGTTGCTCAGCCACATACTTGTCTCTCATTTCATGCTTTCTAATGCTTGAATCACAATCTTTGCTTTGGTGTTTGTTCGGATGCTTGCTTGATTCTCAGTCCATGCTCTCTTTTGTTTGAGGCTCTAACTTTGTTGTTGCTCAGCCACATACTTGTCTCTCATTTCATGCTTTCTAATGCTTGAATCACAATCTTAGCTTTGGTGTTTGTTCAGATGCTTGCTTGATTCTCAGTCCATGCTCTCTTTTGTTTGAGGCTCTATCTTTGTTGTTGCTCAGCTGTGACGTGCGAAGGCTTCATTGTGACTGGCGTATGCTTGAGCTACAGTGTGACGTGTTGTAAAGGCTGCATGGTGATGTGCGGCGTAGAAATGATGACTAGGAGTGTTGCAATGTAACAAATGGCATCAACACTAAACATGCCACTGGCCAAGTGTAACATAACATGATGAATGTTGAAACTTCCAAACGTAGCGGAACGAGAACTCTCTTTAAAAGTTCCATTTGTTTATTGACAAATAGCAATGATCAACACAAGGAGAAATATGCACGTAATATTTCATACTCATTCAAGCACATCAACAAAAGCCCGCTCGAGCATCCATGGACTGATATGTCCTCACGATAGGTCGCAGTTCGACCTTGAGATCCAGACGATTATCTTTGTCTTCGGACAAGTCCGAATTAAGCAATGAAAGTATACCGGCTTACTGCCGAGCTGTGACAATTCACTTAAACATCAACTGCAAAGTATACTGGCTTACTGCCGAACTGTGGCATCCCGGGGTAAAACGTCCTCAAGGATCCAACTTTATACAACGTTTGCTTCCGTGGGATCCGGGGGTAAAGCGTCCTCAAGGATCCACACGTCCGTCTCCTTCGGACTATAAACATCAACTGCCTTTGACAACAATACCTTCACAACGTTACGTATTGTTTTGACGTCTTATTTGCTCACTCAGTACCGGTGCGTTCTAGTGCACATTCGCACGCGACATCAGCCACATACTTGTCTCTCATTTCATGCTTTCTAGATGACTCAAATGCTTGAAACACAATCTTTGCTTTGGTATTTGTTCAGATGCTTGCTTGATTCTCAGTCCATGCTCTCTTTTATTGAAGGCCCTAACTTTGTTTCTTGCTCAGGCACATGATTGTTCTCCATTTCTTACCTTTTTGTTTAACCCTGCTGCAGAACCAACACTTTGGGTTGGGTCAAGTTTTTCCATAATTGTTACTTTTCTATAGTGATCTGTTTACAATATGCACAGGTAATGCTATTTACTTGTGCAAATATCAAAAAGGTCAGGATGTGAATGCATTAACTAAAAACAGCATAAAACAGGGGTTTCTCTTTGAGCCAGGGAGGGGAGCCAAATAGTTTTTTAGTTTTTAGTTTTTTTTTACAGTCAAGTTGACTTGACATTTTTGGTAAGTCTCAGTGATAGCGGTTGCGGGAACACTGTGTGAGTCATTCAATACTTTTTTTTGTTTAATTGCCGGGGAATGCATTCCATTTAACGCTTCACTCTCTTTGTCTTTGTTAATTATTTCCTTCATATATCTTGATTTTTATTTTAAAAATATAGATAAATAAATTTGTGATGGATGTTGAATGTTGAATTAAGAATCGGTATCACATCACTCATGACACTCCCATCAGTGCGCAGTCCCTATCTTCAGCAGCAAGAGAACAGTTCTAATTCTGATGGTACCAGTAACCATCTGATATCATATCCATCTCGTCCTTCCCTTCCTTGAGTGTTGAGCATCGGCCAAATTCCCTGGTAACTCCTCGCAGCACCACACCGGCTAAATTTGCAATTGATGTTTTAGTGACCTGTGTTAAGTTGTTTAGAAAAACATTTTTGTTTTAGAATTTCTGCGGGATCATGACCTATTTGTAGTGTTCCATGGGTAAGAGGGATAGGTATCTGTCTTTGCTGAGGCATGCTTGATTCTCAGTCCTTGCTTTTTTGTTTAAGCACCTGCTAGTCTCTCAGTCCATGCTAATTTGTTTAGTGTCTCTTATCATGTTGAGTGATTCTTTAGGTTTGCCCTAGTTTAGTCAGGGTCATGCACGTGCAAGTATTTATTGTTAGACTGTCTAAAAACATTATTCCTATATAGATGCTTGTTAAAAGTTAGTTGCATATCCTTTACAGGACATTGCAGAACCAGCTCCCACCTTTTTTTTTGACTGTTGTACTATTTCTAGGCAAATTTAACATTTAGTAGTTTGCCATTGTTCTCTGAACGGTCAGCTCTTGGTACCACTTTCAAAACCAGTGCAAGACAAACCGCCCGCAGCTGGGATCAAACCCGACACCCTGGCATTAGGAAGCTCGCAATGCCTAAGCCACTGACGTCGACATAGATGCTTGTACACATGAATAATTATATATAACACACCAAGTAGTTCATCTGGGAGCCGCCATGGTCTAGCAGCTAGACGCTCGCCTGCTGATCGGGAGGTCGTGAGTTCGGTTCCTGACAGGGGTAGACTTTTTTCAAAAATGACCTTGGCCCCCAGGTGAACCCAGCTTTGAGTGGATAACAGGTACGGTCCTGGGAAGTAAAGTCGACCTACACGATGATGACCACATCACCCGCCAAGTGCCATTTGGTCTGTAAAATACAGGTCTAGCCCTATATGCCCAGTAAGCCTGAAAGGGCTTGGAACAGGATCCTTTAAATAGTTTGTATCTTAGGCCTTTAGCCTTGTTTGGCAGCTGGTCTCGGAGAGAAGCTTTAACAGACAGGCAGCGTATTGAACTTCTGATCCAGCAGTTTCTGCAGTATGCTTTGTTCCCTTTTGTTACCACTTTCCTCTGACCTCTACTTTTGGATGAAGCAAAGCAGGCAAAGTGAGGGATTACACTGCATGGGCTTTGACTTGCTTTGCGAAATAAAATTGTCATGTTCAGCCAGCATCCCCTCCAAGAGAGGAGCTTTTGGTTATAATTGTGACTAGATTATTTGCGCCATATGAAATTGCTTAGCATTGCTTGCCACCAAGAAGCCTTGAAAAGGACTCTTGCAGTGTTGATGCTTTCAAGAGAGACAAAGCCAAATACTGTCCCGACGACAATGCGGTCGCCAGTGAAGCAGTGCATGGGCAACACTTTCTCAGTACAATACTACCCACGTTTTGCACTGTGGAGAAAAGGATACACTTGCCATCACCATGCTCTGTGATTCCCATGAGTTTGATTCAAAAACCGACATCACAGCACTAGGAGCATTCCGATAAGTGCTCCATCCCCATCTTCAGCAGCCAGTGAAGAGATCTGATACTAATGGTGCCAGTAGCATTCTGATTAAACGTCTGTTTTGCCTTTCCTCTGAGCCTCGAGCATCCGCCACAACCTCTCGTCACTCCTCCCTGTGATTTCCATGTCTCTGTGTAGCACAAGGGAAAAGCGAGTCAGATATACAGTCAGACAGTTACTGATACCATATGAATTGGAACTCTTTGCTTGCTGCTGAAATTGGGGAATAGGCGCTTATGTGAGTATTCCGAGTGCCTGCCATGTTGATTCTTAATTCAACATTCAACATTCCTGTAGCACAATATAACACCATCACCTGGAAAGACAGAGAGATGGCAGCAGTTTATATTAGCCTCTGTAAGATTCTGCTGTCAGACAACTGTAAGTATATAGACATGGAGAAAATGGGTACCAGGTGAAGTCCTGTGAAGCTAAGGGAACCGGTTCCCTGTGTGGGTTCCGGGACTCCATTGTGGGGAATAACGAGAATAGACTCACTGCCTCCCCAACAAGCATGTCATCAGGAGTCGACTAATTGGGTATTTCCTTCGTAGTCGGAGTGCATCTGCCTGAGAGGTAAAGAACCAACAGTCTGCATACAAATAAGTCAAATAAATTTGCATGTAACACTCAGGTTCTGAAAGAAGTTTAAAGTGCAGAGCTGGATGAACAATACAAACTTTCCGCCAGTTTACAGCTGGTGACTGAAAAAGAAAAGAAAAAGAAGAAGGCCAGTGTGATGTTGACCACGTTACCCACCCAGTGCTGATTGACCCCCCTCCCCCCCTTTTCAGTGCTGATCAGTCCCTAAAATATAGGTCTAGCCCTATATTGCCAGTACTCCTGAAGGCATGGACATTGATTCTTTACTCTACTTGACTTTACATGGAGAAAAATCCCAGATCTTTACATTGTGGTTTTGACAAATTTAACAGATCCTTCATAAAATTGATGTTGAAAACGAACGCCTGCCTCAGCCTCCAAGTTGCCCCAGTGACTTCTATCAGCTGATGGTCCAGTGTTGGTCTCACAAGCCTCAGGATAGACCTTCTTTCTTAGCTCTGAAGGACCTTCTGTCAGAAGTAAGTGTTTTTGTATAGAAGTTTTGATTATTGTGACCCAGTCTGCATCTTATCAGAACTATTTTTTAGCTCTGAACGACCTTCTGTCAGAAGTAAGTGTTTTTGTATAGAAGTTTTGATTATTGTGAACCAGTCTGCATCTTATCAGAACTATTTTTTAGCCAACACTACGCTATCACTGCCAAACGTGGACACTTACATCCTCCAATGAACGTAACATTGTGACAACAGAGAGGAAATGTCTTAGAAGAGCTGCAGGAGTTTCAAGGAAAGACAGAATATAAAATCACAAAATCAGACAAATGCTAGGAATAAAGCCAGTCTCACAAGTCATAAAGGAACAACAAATGAAGTGGTTTGGACACCTAACAAGAATGCCCTGGTACTATCTGCCACAGCGAGCCACACTAAAACGTTACAACGGGTATAGAGCGAGTGGAAGACCTCGGAAAATATGGAGTGATGGCATTAAGAACAGCCTTACAGAAATGAACATCAGTCTTAATAGTGCTCTTGACAGATCTCATCAACAAATGTTATATCTCCTTCCAACACTTTGCTGAGGTGGAAGAGAAGAAGGAGAAGAAGAAGAAGTAGAAGTCTGCATTAAAATTGTTTATAGTCAGAAGGATCAACTTCATTGCACTAAGCCTGGCCCTCTCAGCTTCATTGATGATCACCATTGATCTCCATAGAAACGGGGCCTATGAATCGAACTGTGCAGTTTTTTTTTTGGTTTTTTTGTTTTTGGTTATTAATATTGAGCTAAGAATTCTCTTCTTATTTTTAGCTGAAATGTTGCCATTGATATTCCTCTGATACTTCCCAGTTGTTGCTCTTCTATTTTACAATTTTGTGTTCAACTAGTATTATATAATTCATGTTTAGTCCCTTACATGTTTAACTTGTTTTAGTTTCATGGTCAGTGTTTGGCTGGTATTTCACAAGTCTTAGTTTGCATTTCCTTTTTCATGTCCAGTTTCTATTTTGGGATTAGTTATTACAAAAATGTGTCTTCTTCACAATGGAGGTTGGCTGCAATTGGTCTTATAGACCAATCTGCACCCTGTGAGGATGTAGTCAGCATCACACCAGCTGCCTTTATGGTACTTCCCAGAACTGTTAGAACATTCTGCTTGTTCCAGTAGAGCACAAAACCCAGAAACTTACAGCTCAAGTTCTTTCTAGACTCTCTTATGGGGTTGGCAATTTTTTTTTTTTGGTAGCTTAAATTCTCTTCTAGATGATATAGACTCATGCTAAACCTTCAATTTTTTTGGGGTAGGGGGGAGGGTTGCTTTCTTCTTTTTTTTTCTTCTTTTTGTATAATTACAGTATTACCATTCTTTGTGGTCCTAGTAACATACATCATCAACATCATGTTTTGCCATTATGTGTCACATAAGGCTTGCAGTCATTATCATCGATTCCGTTCTGTTGGTAACACATGCTTATGTTGACAAAAAATTAAATTTTTGTCTGCAGCTGATACCAGAGAATGTGAAGGCAACACAAGCTTTTAATGAGGAAGGGCGGCTGAAGGTTGAGGAAGGGGACCTAATTACGGTTATAGAAGGGAAGTAAGTATTACAGTTTAAAACTACATCAGCGGAGAAAGTAAACATACAAGGGTGGTAGATGAAAAAGAAAACCAGGAAAGAAGTGACCAACCACACAAACAAATACAATACAGTAGAAGAACACTTCTATTGTAATCAGCCCAATAAAAACAGATTGAATTAGGGGACAATTGTTGGTCCTTTGTTTTTTCTCTGGAAAAAGACTAAACTGGAAATAATTGATTGTGCAGGTTTTGAGAAAAAGACTAGGCTGGACATAATTTATTGTGCAGGTTTTGAAACAAAGACTTGGCTGGACATAATTGATTGTGCAGGTTTTGAGACAAAGACTTGGCTGGACATAATTGATTGTGCAGGTTTTGAGAAAAAGACTAGGCTGGACATAATTGATTGTGCAGGTTTTGAGAAAAAGACTAGGCTGGACATAATTGATTGTGCAGGTTTTGAGACAAAGACTTGGCTGGACATAATTGATTGTGCAGGTTTTGAGAAAAAGACTAGGCTGGACATAATTGATTGTGCAGGTTTTGAGACAAAGACTAGGCTGGACATAATTGATTGTGCAGGTTTTGAGACAAAGACTAGGCTAGACATAATTGATTATGCAGGTTTTGAGAAAAAGGCTAGGCTGGACATAATTGATTGTGCAGGTTTTGAGAAAAAGAATAGGCTGGACATAATTGATTGTGCAGGTTTTGAGAAAAAGACTAGGCTAGACATAATTGATTGTGCAGGTTTTGAGACAAAGACTAGGCTGCACTCTCTCGTGGGGCATAGGTTGGTTGGGGTTAGGGCCAGTTCTAGATGTTTTGGAGTTGTTAAAAGCATTAGAAAGCTTGGAAACCCAGTCTTATCACCCTCTAAAATGTTGGACTGTCCTGTGACGTCATCTGGGGCAGGATATTAATAAAGAATCAGATATAGTACTTGATTGGGTAATTGATAGATTTCTTTTTTATAAACATTTAATTGATAGATGAGGAGTGATGAGAAGGAGAAAACTGGAGTACATTGTGACGGTAGGAAAGGGTAGGAGAGGCATAGGAAGACTGGGAGAACAGATCTGGACACTTTGACATAATGGCATTGAAGATCGTCTGTGTCAGAGTTGATTGACACAAGACAGAAGATTGTGGATAGACATGACTATTAACGCTCCACGGCGTGGACTTAAAGAAGAAGAACTGATAGATATCATAGGTTAGTTGCGTATCTTTTACAGGACGTTGCAGAACCAACCCCAACAGCTCCTGGCTGTTGTGTGGTTTTTCTAAGCAAATTTACTTCCAGTAGTTTGTCATTGCTTTCTGGACGGTCGGCTTTCTTGTTACCACTGTCGAAACGTACGCAAGGCGCATGGCCCGCATCTGGGATCGAACCCGGCATCCCGGCATTACAAAGCGTTCGCATCGACTTAGCCACAGAGCTGACAGATATCATAGACAATATTAAATTATCTGTTATCTTGTGGATGAGATTTAACATTGTTCTGTCTTATCATCTGTTCTGTCTTATCATTTGTTCTGTCTTATCATTTGTTCTGTCTTATCATGTGTTCTGTCTTATCATTTGTTCTGTCTTATCATTTGTTCTGTCTTATCATTTGTTCTGTCTTATCATTTGTTCTGTCTTATCATTTGTTCCGTCTTATCATTTGTTCTGTCTTATCATTATTAGACCTGACTGCTTCTGGTGGACTGGGCAGAACAGACGAACAGCAGACATCGGAACATTTCCCCGTGTCTTGGTTGAAGTGCAGAGGAAGCTGGGAAGTATGTTTGCTGTTTAAAAACACACACACAAAAAAACACTGGTTACTTTGTTGTTCATCATCATCATTATCAGTTTATTATGGCACAGACAGTCATAATTTGTTACATTGTGCAATCGTGTGCTGCCATCTTACAACAGGTCATCGTGAATCTGCTTCCTTTCTTCCTAACATTTTTGTTCAAGCTTTTACATCTTCTAGTTTTTCTCTTCACATAATTTTACTAGAATGATGACTGAAGGTTGTGGGGGTCTCCGTGATGAACCTCATGCTCTGTGCGATGATTTCGGCAGGCGGTTAGCAGTTCTGCAGAGAGAGAGACAAAGCAATATGGGATAAAACTCAATGCAATGAAGCCAGTCTTCTCAATTTAACCTTTAACTTTCAACTGAAGGTTGTGCTAACTTGTATGTATAGGTAAAGTAAAGGACCTCTTTCCACTCCTTTAGACTTATTGGGCATATTGGGCTAGACATATATTTTATAGACCAGTTGGCACTTGATGATGTGTTCAACATTATGTCAGCCATCCAGCCAGAAGAGCTAGAAACAGAACCTTATATCTCCCTCGACACCCACAGCGGTAAAAGAGGAAGTGAAGAAGAAGATCCAGTCACCTATATTTCGCAGGACGTTATACCCATTCCAGGCTGGGTCACAACAATAACGATACGTTTGTTTCATCTTCCCAGCTGAATGGTTACTTATAATTTTTCTCTGCAATAACCACATACTTGTCTGATCCTCCCAGCTGCTGATATCAGTGTCCCGTTGAAAAACAGCTTCATCCACACAGGACATGGGGACATTCGAGGCAACAACTGGGGAGATCCTGGGGAGATTGATGAGTGAGTTACAGGTGTTATTTGTTCTGTTTATAGTTTAAACAAAAAATTTTTCTGTAATGTTGTTGGATTTTTGTTTTTTGGGTAAATATTAGAGGGGGACATTTTGGTGGCATTGTGCCAGTGTGTTTAACCAGTGTATAGCCACTGTCGTGCTTTTTCTTCAAAATACACCATAAATCTTGAGCAATGGTGCTTGAACAAACAAATCCCCTACCGGCTTACTGGGTGTCCTATCACCCCTACTCTTCATCACATATATGGATAAAATTGCACAGGAGTCAAACCAAAACACAGATATTATAAATCAACTACTCTTTGCAGATGACCAATGCTTGTTACAAGAAGAAGAACAAAAACTACAACAACATGTTGATTCATTGCTCACTAACTGTACAAAATTTGACATGAAAATAAACACCTCAAAAACTGAAGTAATGACCATAGGAAAGAAACACAGTAATGTAAACATAAAGATCAATGACATACAATTAGAACAAGTTCAAAAATTCAAGTACTTAGGATGCATATTTACAGAAGATGGAAGACTCGATAAAGAGATACAGGATGGAGTTCAAAAAGCCAATGCAGTCAACTACCAACTGGCCCCACTTCTTCGTCATCCAAAGATCTCGTTACCAGCCAAACAACGGATGATCAACAGCATTTTCATCCCTACATTATGTTATCAGTGCCAAACGTGGACAATGAACAAATCACATATGCAAAAAATAACTACATGTGAAATGCGATGTCTCTGAAGAGTCACCAACAATACACGAAGAGACAGAGTCACAAACGTCAGCATTAGAGACAAAGTTGGAACAAGAGCATGCATGGAACATATTGAAAGACAGAGAATGAAGTGGTTTGGCCATTTAGTAAGAATGCAACCGGATCAGATTGCCTTTAAGGCCTTTTACAGTAGAACATCGGGACGAAAGGCCAGAGGAAGACCCAGGAAAAAATGGATAGATGGAGTAGCTGAATATGGCCAGAAGATCCAGAAAACTGTCACTCAAATCACGCGAGAGGCACAAAACAAATATTGTAAACCACGACACTGGGCTGCAACCCGGTAAAAGTGAAGAAGACAATAGATAGATAGATAGCCACTGTCAGGCATAAATAAAAATAAAAAGGCCAGATCTGTAAAGTGGACATACACGTAAAATTCAAGTTCTGGAGTAAGACGACAGTCTGGAAGTGAACAAACCAGAACTGTCGGCTGGAGTTTAGATTTCAGTTTAGGTGTAGATGACACAGTAAAAGTAAAAAAAAAAATTATATATATGAGCTACAAAGAGAAGGTTGACTACAGTGTATCCATTGCTGTCTCCAGGAATATAATGTGGTGAGGCCTCAATCTCTTCCACAGTGCAACTCTCCTAACTGTCCAGTAAAACCACAAACTGATAACCAATGCTGAGGTCAGTTTGTGACACCCTATAAAGGATAAAGGATATATATATCCTTTATAGGGTGTCACAAACTGACCTCAGCATATTTTGTACTTTTACTGTTTTTTTTTTTTAAACAGAAGTTTTGATTATTGTGACCCAGCCTGCAAAAAAAAAAAAGTTTTATAATGAGGAAAACCGACTTCATTGCACTAAGCCTAGACCTTTCAGCTTCAATGATGATCACCAGCGATATCCATATAAATTAGTCCCATGAATCGAACAGTGCAGTTTTTTAGTGTTTGGGCTATTAATATTCGGCTGAGTTTTCTCTATTTATTTTTTAGCTGAAATATTGCCATTGACATTCATTTGATACTTGCCAGTTGTTGCTCCGCTGGTTCTGCTGGACTGGTTCTACTTGTAATTTTTACAGTTTGTGGTTTTACTGGACAGTTTTATGTACAGCAGTTTGCCATTGATAACTGCACGGTCATTGTTCATAATGTTGTTTTTACCATGTGGGTTCCGGGGGCCCCATTGCGTAAAGGACAAGAATAGCTCCACTGCTTCGCCAATAAGTGTCTGTGGCTTAGGTGTTTGCGAGCGCGCTTCGTAATGCCGGGGTGCTGTGTTTGGTCCCAGCTGCGGACGATTGGTCTTGCTTTGGTTTTGACAGTGATACCAAGAGCTGACCGCTCAGAAAGCAATGGCAATATAGAGAACGTAACATATGCCTAGGAAAACCATAACAGCCACAAAAAAGGCTAGGTTGGTTCTGCGACGTCCTGTGAAGGATACACAACTAACTTTTTCCCCGGTAAGCGTGTCGACTAATTGGGGACTTCCTTCAAAGTCGGAATGCATCTACCCGAGTGGCAAGGAACAACAAACAGCACACAAATAAGTCAGTAAAACATGCACACACGAAAATCATTCCTGGCACAAAGCAAAAGTCTAAATGGACCAACATCCGGTGAACACAAAAAAAAAGAAGATTTTATTTTTGAAATAGATGTAAAGCTGTGTGCTGCCCAAATCGCATGCAGCTGAACACACCTGTTAGGTTGGAATTACGAATCAGCCCTCATGACGACTAATCGTCAGCCGCGATATCTAATGTCATTTAAATAAATTTGTTTGCACAAGGAAGTTAGACTGCAGTGCTCCTACTGCTGTCTTTTGGCAATATTACCTGATGAGACCTTAATCTTTTCCATTTCTTCTACCACTGTCAGAACACAATCATCAATTATATTGTGGGTGTTTCACCAGTATTCATTCTTAACTCAGACAGACACTAATAAAGATATTGCAACAAAATTTGTGGACCATACAAAGTCAGGTGTCATCATAAGTGCTGGAAATGGCCACCGATAGTGTCCAGGCAGCATTGGATGTGGCGTTCCATGTTATGGAAAGTCCTGACTCAAGATCATGCAGTGTTTTGCTAACTGAACGCCAATGGTGGCCATTTCTAGCTTCTTTTATGATGTCACCTGACCTCACATAAGCAGAGGTAAGTCCACTCCACATTTTGCTACCACATCTTTTTTAATGTCTGTTATGAACAGTATACTTGGTTCCGCCCTGAGTGAAGCACCTGCTATAATATGTGAGTTGTAGAGATAATTATCACATTAACTCATATGTCAATAGTGATTCACTATCCATAAAGACGGTAGTCCTGATTTCCTCATCCTAGTGTGTACCTGAGAAACCCTATGGATCCACACGACTTGCATGAGGAAGATGTCAGCATTGCCAGTCAATTTCGGACTAAAAGTAAGTGTCAGAGGTCATGTTCTGACTAGAAGTAAGTGTCAGAGGCCATGTTATAACTAAAAATATGTATCAGAGATCATGTTATGACTAAAAGTAAATGTCAGAGGTCATGCGATGACCAAAAATAAGTGTCAGAGGTCATGTTATGACTAAAAATATGTGTCAGAGGTCATGTTATGACTAAGAATAAGTATTAGAGGTCATGTTATGACTAAAAGTTAGTGTCAGAGGTCATGCTATGACTAAAATTAAGTGTCAGAGGTCATGTTATGACTAAAAATAAGTCAGAGGTCATGTTATGACTAAAAGTAAGTGTCAGAGGTCTTGTTATGACCAAAAATAAGTATCAGAGGTCATGTTATGGTTAAAAATAGGTATCAGAGGTCATGTTATGACTAAAAGTAAGTGTCAGAGGTCATGTTATGACCAAAAATAAGTGTCAGAGGTCATGTTAAAACTAAAAGTAAGTGTCAGAGGTCATATTTTGGGATGACATGGGGGCTTCAAATTAAAACTTGAAAAGGGTGAAAGAAATTTTACAGTAACCCTGCCATTGCCTTTTAACCTGTTAGTATTGTTGCTAAGGATGTCAAGAGTGTTAAGCCCATGACATCAAAGTGCAGATGAACACATTGGCGTCATAATGACAGTTTAATGACAGTTTTAAAATGGCCACCCCACTTTTTGTATGTACCAAAGAGGAGCAGCATTCTATTCTCCCTTTGTTTTTGTTTTCTTCTGTATATTGCCTTTTTTGTGTGTAAATAAGGGACCCTTTACCTGTCTGCTGCTAGCTTATCTGCAGTGTTTTTCTCCTTCATTCTTTCCTGATTTACCCCCTGCACGCAACACGGCCCATGCCCCTCAGTACCTGCATCATTCATACCATGCCATGCCGGCTTAGTGGTTAATGAACAGGCAGACAGATTGGCTGGATCTCCACCACTGGATGTTGAATTGATACATGACAAGACAGATGTGGTCAAGGCCTTTTGGGAACAAGCAATGGAATCAGTAGAGAAAGAAGATTATTATGGCCTGGAGAGAATAAGGCACCTGGGTGTAACCAGAGGGTCTGGCCGGCTTATTACACTCAGAGGAAAGGCAAGATAGACATATAACCAGATTGTGACCGGTACCATCAGTATTGGAACTCTGTACTGGCTGCTGAAGATGAGGACGGAGCACACATGGGAATGCCCCGAGTTTTGTGATGTCAATTCTTGACTCAACTCAACTCGTATCACTCGTCATATATGGACCTTGACATCTTCTGCCCATCTGTAATTCAGAATAGGAGCATGTCATGGATTTTTATCTCCAAGGTTTTTAAAGTGTGCAGGAAAACGAGCAGGCTGATAGATTAGCTGCCGCTCAGGATAATGAGCGGTCTGATAGATTAGCTGCTGCTGCCCCTCTTTGTGGTGAGCTACTCTTTGTGATAAATGAGACATAGTGAAAGCTGTCTGGGATCAGTTGTACAGTGCAACAAAACAAACAGAGTAAACTTACTTAAGAAGACTAATTTAGGATGTGGGGGGGGGGGGGGGGGTTTGCTGAGCGACAGATCTAGAGGATATTCTGTACTGTCAGGGAAACAAGCAGACTTTTTGACAGGTTGCAGCTAGTACTGTTAGCATATGGACTCATTGTTGGCTACTGAGGAAGAAGACAGAGCGTGTGTGGGAATGTCCCAAGTGCAGGGATGTCAGCTCATTTATTTAGAGCTTTGGTTCTCAACCTTTGGGTCGCAACCCTTTTGAGGGTCAAACCACTCTTTCACTGGGGTCACCCAAGAATATCGGAGAACACATATTTACTGAAGTTATAAAGTAGCAGCAGAAATAATTATATGGTTGGGGGTCACCACAACTTGAGGAACTGTATTCAACGGTCGCAGCATTAAGAAGGTTAAGAACTACTGATTTAGAGGATATCCTTAGGGAGTAGAAAGTACAAAATAAATAAAAGATCAAATTTCAAAACCTTGAAGTGCATTGGAGATTTTTTACTATTTGTTATATTTTTTTTAGACCATTTGACAATTAGTTGTTGATGGAGCTACCTTTACTTCCCAAAATATTTCCTGATACCTTCTTTAAATTAGCCCAACTGGGGATCTGAGGTCAGTTTAAAAAAAAATTATTGTCTTGATGAGGATTTGAACCTAAAATATCATATTGACAGTGCCACGTTTACTCATCATTTGTGTTTGTGATAATATGACGCTGACTGATTCTACTTTTCATTTGATTTGATTGTTTGTGATAATATGACGCTGACTGATTCTACTTTTCATTTGATTTGATTGTTTGTAATAACATGACACTGACTGATTCTACTTTTCATTTGATTTGATTGTTTGTGATAATATGACGCTGACTGATTCTACTTTTCATTTGATTTGTTTGTTTGTGATAACATGACACTGACTGATTCTACTTTTCATTTGATTTGATTGTTTGTGATAACATGACACTGACTGATTCTACTTTTCATTTGATTTGATTGTTTGTGATAATATGTTGCTGACTAGTTCTACTTTTAATTTGATTTGATATCTTTTCATGACATTGGAATGCTAGACATGGTACTGTGATACCTCCCAAGATGCATGTAAACTTTTTGATGGCCGCACAATTTTTTTTGCCTCCGCATGTTTTCGTCATTAGAGCTAATAGACTGAAATGGTTGGGGCATATTGAGAGAATGTCAGATGACAGAGAAGTAAAAACTGTATACTCGAGGAAGATGAATGGTCGTAGACCACGAGGCAGACCAAGAAGACGATGGAGAGATAATATCCAGACAGACCTGCAAACACTTGGTGTCACTAACTGGAAAGAGAAGGCTAACCAGAGAGATGAATGGAGGCAGGTAATATCTGCAGCAGTGAACCTCAAGGGCTCGGAATGCTGAAGAAGAAGGCATAAATTCGCAGGTGCGTTATACAATAACAATTAAATTTAATTTTAAAAATAAATAAATCCTTTTCAACTGAAGGAAGATACATTGTTCAGTCTATTGTTTTGTTTCTTCTTTGTTCACGATTTTACAATGAGCAAACATTGCTTTGTTGGCGTCTGCGGGCTTATTTGTAATTCCCTGATGCCGGGTTCAATCCTGGCATGGGCAGTTTGGCAGCAGACCACTTTGCATTGTTTTCAAAAGTGGTGTCGAAAGCCAACCTTTCAGAAAGCAGTGCCAAACTTCTGAACATAAAATTGCCTGTTGAGATTACTAACAGCCAAAAGATGCTGGGCTTGTTTCTGTAGTGTCCTTTAAGGGACACACATCTAACTTCTTTCCACACATTGCTTTGATCTAATGATAATAATGTTTTTTGTGTCCCTTGTTTTTCGCTCCACCAAACAGTCCAGTTTGGTAGTTCTCAATTCAGCTATAACAAATTAAAAAATGAACCCAATCCGAAGCATTCAAGCTCTGATCCTAGTCGACAGAGACAGTTACAGACACAAAACCAGAGCCAGCAGAAACAGCAGCCATTAAAGAAGCTTCCAACGCCACACACGGGACAACCTCCCAGTCTCCCGACACAAGCCGCTCAAGGACTGTGAGTATTGCTTCTCTCTGACTTAACTGTTTCCATTTTAATGGTTTGAAATGAATTCTGTCCGTATTCCATAGTTGTGGATTTCAAGTTGTACGATAGACATGGCCAATAAGACACCTTTTTTGGGGGGTGCCTGGTTGACCATGTTTTTAGTTCTTAGTAAAGTAAAGTAAAGATCCCTTAGGCGCATCGGGAATATGGGAAGAGCACTCTGTGGGTAATGTGGTCAGCATTACGCCGGCTGTCTTTACTTTCCCAGGACAGCCCATCCTGGTACCCATTTGAGGCTGGGTCGACCTGCGACATCCCATACCAGGATAAAAATCCACGCAGCCCGCAGTGGGTTTCGATCGCGGTACGTTGGATTACGAGTCAGACTCGCCTTAGCCACAGACGCCACCTCTTTGGAGAGAAGACTGAGTTAAATGGGATGAAACCCAGTGCAATGAGGACAATCCTGTCGCGTTTAACGTTTAGGGAATCTGAGACTTTATGGTGACTTGTTCTTTTTCTTCTTTCTTTCTTGTTGTTGTTGTTGTCCATCTTGTTGTTGTTGTTCTCCTCCTCCTCATGCTTTTTTTCTTCTTTTTCAGAATTCTGATCCTTTGAGTTTCATGTCTTCAGATATCACCAGTCTTTTTTTTTTTATCTCTGTGTTTGGCCTTCTCTTTTCAGTTGGTGACTGCAGGTGTTTATAGGTCTGGCTGCATATTATCTCTCCACTGTCTTCTTGGTCTGCCTCAGGGTCTACTCCCATTTAGCTCCTCATTTGTTTACACAGTTTTAATTTTTCTGTTATCTGCCTTTCTCCCTATATGCCGAGGTTCCCAAACTGTGCTCCCTGACCTGTCCACAGGAGCGGGGCAAAATATTTGAAGATACACAAGTTTTATTTTTATTTTTTAAAATATCTTACATACAAATAGTCATACTTTTACTTAGGTTAGGGCTCGTGAAAAAGTTTTATTTAAAATATCTTACGTACAAATAGTCATACTTTTACGTAGGTTAGGGCTCGTGAAAAAGTTTTATTTAAAATATCTTACATACAAATAGTCATACTTTTACTTAGGTTAGGGCTCGTGAAAAAGTTTTATTTAAAATATCTTACATACAAATAGTCATACTTTTACTTAGGTTAGGGCTCGTGAAAAAGTTTTATTTAAAATATCTTACATACAAATAGTCATACTTTTACGTAGGTTAGGGCTCGTGAAAAAGTTTTATTTAAAATATCTTACGTACAAATAGTCATACTTTTACGTAGGTTAGGGCTCGTGAAAAAGTTTTATTTAAAATATCTTACATACAAATAGTCATACTTTTACTTAGGTTAGGGCTCGTGAAAAAGTTTTATTTAAAATATCTTACATACAAATAGTCATACTTTTACTTAGGTTAGGGCTCGTGAAAAAGTTTTATTTAAAATATCTTACATACAAATAGTCATACTTTTACTTAGGTTAGGGCTCGTGAAAAAGTTTTATTAAAATATCTTACATACAAATAGTCATACTTTTACTTAGGTTAGGGCTCGTGAAAAAGTTTTATTTAAAAAAAAAAAAGGCGCTGCAACTAAGAAAAGTTTGGGAAACTGCCTATGCTATTGCAGTCTATAAGCTTTCGTAATGCCAGATATCATTTGTGATGTAACTAGATTATGAATTATAGAGTTGCCTCGCACTCTTCGCTGTTTGCATCTCTATGATGTTGACAGAACTGTTCATAAATTTTAACTCATTTAACTCTGTATTTATAGGATTTCACCAACTGTAACTGATGCACCACTCATAGACTTAAACTCCTCTCCTGTGGAGAGTAAACAGACCAAAGACAAAGGATTTGCCACAGAACTGGATATCTTTGATTCTCTCTGCTCCACCTCAACGAGCTCACAGTACAGTAACATTCGCTTGCCACCCCCTTTACTAGACAACAGTGAGTTGGATCCCTTTGATGTCAACCCTCATTTACATTTGTTGAACAGAATTGGCTGGGAAAAGAGAGCCAGCACTGCCTCTGGATATGAAACAACTGCAGATGTCCTTAAAAGTCTGCTTTCTTCTGGTGTCTTTCCAACTGCAACAAGTCCTTCATCTCCTTCTTCCATAGCACATCTTCCACAGCAACAGTTTCCCACAGAGTCCTCTAGTCAGTTCACCAGGATCAGTCTTCAGACCTGGGATTGAATCTGGTAACAGGGATGATCAAGATGTCGATCCTGTTTCCAAGGGAATTAACACCAGCTTATCCTTGAATATTCTAGAAGGCGGATGTAGCCCGCAAGTCAACTCAGGGGGTCTTCTCTATTGCGAGCCTCCTGATGATGGTGATAGAAAGTATTCCTCACTTCAGTTCATGACCAGGTCTTCAGAAACATTTGACAGTCAAAGATTTTCTTCCCTTTCCGCGGATATAGCTCAGAGTGTACAAACACAACCTGGATTAGATTCCGTGTTTAGAGAACATTTAACTAGCGTTATACAACCTGCTGCAGGAAATGGCAGGTGCAATTCTGTTAGCCTGCCGCTGATACATCCACCCACTTCTAGACACTCCAGTCAATCAAGAAATCCATTTCACAAATCACAGAATGTACCCCACAGCGTATTGAAACCCACTGCCACCCAGCTGGATTTTGATCGAGCAAAGACAGAAAAGGCATTTGATTGGCTGAAAGATGCGCTGAAAAGTGACCTGTCCAGCCCACAGAAGTCCATGAACAAAAGTGACAAGGGCTTTCCGTTTACAGCAGACGTGAGTGAAAACTCTCCTGAGCCAGCCACAGTAAGATCAGACAATATTACATTGTATGATAGCATGCATGAAGAGATTAATGACCAGTGTCGTTACACCAATCAGATTGGGAGCGGCTTGACAGATTACACAATATTCTCACAAACAGGATATACAGACCCTGGCGGTAAATTCTCCTTACCTTCAAATCAGTATTCAAATCCCTTGGAGGATATATATGCTAATACTGGTGCAGTTTTAGCCCGTTCTGGAAGCACCTACAGTCAGACATCAGTGTCCCCTAGAGAAAACTATATGTGCACTTCAAATTTTAGTGACTGCACTTGGGACGATGAATTTGATGATGACGATTTTGATGACACCTCTGTGAAAGGTTGTAGAATACAAGATTCTGATTCCATAGCTGCTGTACCTCCTCCTCTTCCTCCGAGAACCTACCACAGTATTGCTAGTGCTGACCACACAAAGACTGCTCAGAATCAGCCGTACATCCTGCCGTTGAAGCGAGATGGCCAACAGTTGAGGATGTTTCATGGGCTGGACCGTAAATATATTACCCGAGTTTTGTTTTTGAATGAGGGGAATGAATTTAAGGAATGACCCTTGCCCACAATAGTGGGGTGTTCCTTTTAATGTTCTGGTACTTTGTCAGCAGCCCAATTTAAGGGGTTCCCCTTTCCCGAAGTTTTCCGTTGCAACCTAAATGAAAGGGGGAACCCAAAGTTTCCATGGAGCTTTTAGTATTTATGGTCCCTGTGTGGGTTTCCCGGGCCCAATGGTGGGGGAAAAAAAAATAGGGCCTACTGCCCCCCCCCAAGCACGTCATAGAGTTGTATTGGGGGCTGCCTTTTGAAAATAAAAGTGAAAAGGCCCCCCAGTGGCAAAAGGAAAAAAGAGACTGCAACAAAAAAAGCCAAAAAAAAATAATTTTCATGCAGAAGGGAAGCCCGTGTCACCCAAACAAAGTCCAAAGTGGACGAAAAAGGATTCCCCCTGAGCTTACAGCAGGGAACAAAGAAGTATCAAGCAGAAGACGCTCAACCCCTTGCCAAAGTTTCCCCCCAAAAAGTGGGGTTTTACAAGGCAAAGGGGACTTTTTAGGAAAAAATTTTTTTCAAAGTCAGAGTGTGTTTTAAACCCGAAAGCCCGGCACTAAAAAATCACATAATAAAGCAAAACTGTATGAGGATGTGCAGGCAACTCACCCAAAACCCTTTGGGAAAAAGACCAAAAGTCCAGAAGGGAAAGAATGAACAGAAAAATTTTAGCCATAGTTACACCAGGGGAAAACAAGATGAAGAGAAGATATACTACCCTTTGCCATAACATGAACAGTTGGCCCCCTCGGGGTGTGGGTTAGAATTTAGGGGAACCTGGGTTTTACATCCCCCCCCCCCCACCCCCCCCCCCCCCCCCCACCCCCCCCCTTTTTATATAAAAGGGTTGGATTTTTAACGGGGGGCTTTTTGGAAAAAAAAAATTTTCCGGCTGTTTTTAGAATGGATTATAATAGCCCCAAAAGTATTGCCAAAAACCGGAGTGGATGTGTGTTATATATATATTATATATATAAAATATATTAAAATATATATATATTATATATATATAAAATTATAACATATTATATAATTTTATTATTTTAAAGGGATTAAAGGGCCAAAATACACTGTAGGCTAGCACACAGATGATTTTTATTTTCAGAACTCTTCCCCCTTTTGTGGGTTCTAGGGTCCCCCTTTGGAGGAAAGAGAGAATAGACCCACTGCCCCCCTGCAAGCATATTTTAAAAAACGACTTTTTCTATTTTTTTCTTCCTCCGAATCTTTACTCCCCTAATTGGGGTTCCGGGGACGCTATTTTGGGTAAGTTAAAAAAAAGGGAAAAAGCCCCACTGCTCCCTAAAAAGGGATTAGTAAAAGTCAATTAATTTTGGGTGTTTCCTTTTAAAAAAAAAGACTACACTGCCCAAAGGGGGAAAAAAGGGGGGAACCCGAGAATAAATACAAAAAAAAACTAAGATCATGACAAGCAGTTCCCAAAACCCCCAACCAGTGACCCTAAGTAACCAAACACTTGAAAATGTAGAAAAATTTCACATATTTTGGCAGTGTGGTGTCCCCACTGGAAAGGGGGGACAGAGGAAAACATACAGCACCCCCCTGAACAAAAGGGAAAAGTGCTTTTGGAGGGGGCGAGGCCCAAAACCCGGAAAAACCAACAGGGTTTCTGCAGAGGAAAAAAAATCGGGGTCTAAAGAGGGATTTTTTGCCAGTTCTTCTTTTTGGGCAGAAGCGGGGGAAAAGACCAAAAAAGGTGTACACAAGCCGTCCCCCTTCCCCTACTCCTGTCTTTCGTAGAATTTTCAAAATTTTTTTTCCAAAAACAATCCAAACACTAAACTACTTCAAGTCACAAAAACCCAAAAAACTTAGACATTTTGATGACCAAAAGAAATGGAAATGGGTTGGGCCACGTTTTGGGGAAAGAATCCGATATACCGTAAAAAAAAACTTCACATGGGGAAACCCGAGGGACAGAGAAAAAAAAAGGGGGCGCCCCAAAAAAAACTGGAGAAAGAACGGGGAAATTTACCTGAGGTGGATCTTTGACAGGAAAA